TCAAATTGTTGTTGTAAAAACATTATTAATGAGTTAATTTTTTTAATATCAAAATATTTCGAAACCTAGCGATTCTAAGCATGTATCATGATTGTACCAATAAAGGTGATATGGTTTAACGAAAAATAAAAATATTGTGGATGAAAACAAAGCAATTAGTGCAATCTTTGTCTGGGACACATATGTAACGTATTTTAATATATGCAAATTGTTCGTGGTGTAAATTAGCCAATAGGAACACTATAAATTTACAGGAACTTACGAGGTATATTATTAATTATTATTATTATGCATCTGTCACCGTAACGCCATAAGTTACAGCGTGCCTAGACTGTCGGAAGTTATCGGGCCTAATGTAATTGCTTATCCTAGACATTCAAAACGCCGGAGGCGTTTGATGGGAAATGCGAAGCATTTCAAGTGACGGACTTTAGTCTGACAGTACACTGTCGCATCGACATCCGCTGCGCGTCGGTCGATACTCTCGCTGTACTGTCTCCTTGCATACTTTGAGGTACTAGTATCCTCGTAATAACATCACAATATTTCTAAAACATTGAAACGATCACTTCCTTAACTTACGTTACGCATAATTGTATAGCATTATCATTCAATATACACGTGTATATCCATTACATGTTCTATGTACCATCAAGACCAATTCTATGTTATAACACAAATAATTACCGGTCTCGCTTTTAATTAACATCAAACATTATGCAAGTAAATTATTGAATTTAAAAACATTAGCCCCATTCGAAAAAAGCATAAATCAGATCTTGCTTGCTTGCTAGCTTTACCAAACTTCTCATTTATCCTATAAAAATATCGATTAATCTGCAAGAGTACAGCAGCTACTTTTCTCAATATTGGGACAGTTTCAGTGAGATTTTTGAAGAACGTAAACTCGATATTTACACTACTTTTGGTCATGTGACTCATTCTTCTGGTCGTTGGTTTTATTAATGGATATACAACAAGAAAGTGTGAGCGAAGCGCGAGTGTGATTTTAATTGACTTTGAACCAAAGTGTGGCGTTATATCCAGTAATCCACACTTTCGAGTGAGTGTTTTTTAATTACACCACGAAAAAAACGATAAATATTCAGCGATAGGCTGGCGCCCTGTAATTCTGTAATTCTGTAAACCCGTAATAATTTCTCGTGGTACATACTTTTATTTGTCGAAAGTTGAAGACAAACAATACATGAAATATCCCAATAACGAAAACACATTGAGTTGGGGATGTTTACTAAGAATTTTGCGCCATAATATCGCTCCACATTGGTCTATTTGGCTACAGTGACAGACAATATGTATACTTTAATCACAACATAAAACATACTAGTAGTCTCAATGTGTCTGTGTTTATATTCATTATTCACAGTAAATATACATAACAGATTCACAAGGAATAATTTTATGATTTCAAAGGTCAAGGCAGCTTCGATTCATTGTCACGAATAACGTTGAAAATAAATTTGCAAACACGGGTCACGAAAAAAAAAACCCTCCCCTCTTGAAACATACTAGTACCTTAGATGAAGTTATGATGGTGCTCCCCTGAACAAATGGATAAGCAAATGACACCACGAACACGCCTCCCATGATTCACCACGCGCAACATCCACTGAAGGGGACAATCAATTCGGCTCAATACACATTTGCCCCACAGTCTCACACAGACCGAAACGGTAACACAGTCTCACACAGGCCGAAACGGTAACACAGTCTCACACAGACCGAAACGGTAACACAGTCTCACACAGACCGAAACGGTTACCCGGCTTTAGATATTTCCATAATATTTTATTTTATTGAGCGATGAGTGGCTTTTGCGGTAAGTAGATTTCGCAGTGGACAACTTTCACGGGGAGTAGGGCAGTGACTGGTCTTTTCATCGTTGTTGATAATTAAAGTTTTAGATGTTTTTAACAACTAGTACTATTCTGGGAATACCATATTTAGAAGCAATTAAAAACATTTGACCATTTATAATCATGTATTCTTTTTATACTGCTTAGAGACATACTGCAAGTAATGATCTTTTCCAGTACTATATTCTCCAGCATAAATATTGGATTATCTGTAAGCATTGAATTGCAATGTGAATTTCGTTCATTAATGAAATACTGTGTGATGATGCTATCATCAGGGTCTACTTGTGATTCAGAGTCCCGCATTGAACTGTGTCCCGGTGGTTAGATACTCTAGTCAATTTTTTAATTGCTTTTATAGGCTAAAATAATCATGTTCTGTCTTGTACTGCGACGGACAATATTTTTTTATTTTACTGACGTGTTCTTGAGCATATTTTCTTGTTAAGTTGTCCGAAACACGGCCAGACATGTACCATAAAGATCGTCATTGCTCCGGCGATCTGGATGTGCGGTTGACCTCCGAAAACCTATCATGTCCCGGGGGGTGTCTGCTACGATTGACACAAAAATACAACTGCAATTTTAAATTTCTTTAGCATTATAACTATTGCGTACTCGATTTGCAGTAACATTTTGATTGGCATCGATATTATTACTGTCACTCGCACCTCAAATTGTTAACGCATGAGAAGCGCACAATTTTCGCAGTTTGGCAAGACTTCGTCGGTGTTGGCGGTGATTTGTTTCTCTCATGCATTTTCTCCCAATTTTTTTTGACCTTTGATAATTCTCACAAATTTATGCCAATTATTTTTTTTTGTCATACAACTCCGGAACGTTTTTTTAATTTCTCGGCGACAGCTACGTAATTGGGACCAATTCGTTATCGGCAAGATTCTGGGAAACGCGGTGACCAGCGAGGTGATTCCAGGGACGGCAGTGACAACCACCAAGACGTAATTGAAGGCAAATACGAACGTGAAGCATACATAAGGCTGTTTCTAGTCGTACTAAGCATAAAGTAGGAGACTAAACCATTGTTAACTTTTGAGAGGAACGGAATTTACTCGCTTTTTAGGGTGTCATAATAAGTGAGGGTGAAAACCGTGTTTATGCTCTGAAAAAGTGAAGACCCTGAACGTACACCAACAAAATAAACAAAAGACTGTTTGTAAGTGTATATTCGGCCATTTCTTCGGTATAAGGTCGACGGTTTGTAAGGGGTAACCCATTTAAAATTTGAGGGAGAGGGTGCAGGGAATTGGTCAATTGCATTCAATGAAAAGATTCAACCAGGCAAAATTACAGTAAAAAATAACCAAATAAATTTGGGCGGAGTCATTGTGTCGACCATGTCGGACTTACAACAAAGGCTACTTGAAATTTCGCGCAAAATCAGAAATTGACACATAACACAGGGAGTGCAGTGTGAGAGAGTCTCCGAAATATTTAGGTGTTGCTGTGTGCCAGGAGAAGAGTTAAAGTGTTCAATAACATCTAAATTTAGTATTGACCAGACTACGGACAATGGTACAAATCATACATGTGATAGAATAAGCATACTGATGGTCAAAGGTCATCGCCAGTGTTGACACAGAGCTCTTATTCAATGGCGGAGAGCGAAAATAAATTTGAAATGATCGATTCAACAATACACATTATCATACAAACTATAACATATAACAACAATAGTGCAGTAAATACAAGATGGCGGCCGGTTTGAGTGACTTGTGTAACATCCAATGCAAGTGACGTATGAAAATGTAAATTGTATTTTAACAAGAAGTGAGCAATTCCTCGGGAAAACAAAATTTGTCAAATATTTTTAAAAATCTGAATGAGGTGGATACGATTTTTTTCTGCATATGCCATTTTATATCGGGGAATTTTTTGTAACTGGGTCTACCCGCCTAAATTTATAACCATTAATCGGTTGCTAAGGTGACAAGCTATAATTTGAATTGGATACGGGGGGGGGGGGGAGACAATAGCTCCAATCACCAACTGAGGGAACAATATCTCATCCGAGCTCTAACAGTACGGTCGTAATTGCTTCCATTGTGGCTGTGTGAAAACCAAACAGCGTTATCTTGGTAGAAAAGCCACGATGTGATTCAAGGCGAGTCGAACTTTGTTCCGCAGCTACTTCGATGTAAAGTTATTGCTGACTGTATAATTCCATTCTACGTCTGGTCATAATATAAACATCGACCTGAAGGTGCGTAATGTTGCGTGTTTTATTTATATTCTTCACACAGCCTCAGCCTGACCTGACTAAAGTACAGTGGTTGTCGTACCGCATTGTGTAAAATACATTGTTTGTTTTACGTGAAATTCAAAAACGCGATGCGTGATGTCCACTGCTTTTTGACTATCAATAAATAATACGTTTTATAGTTCATTATATGCCATTTATTATAACTTGTTGAAGTACGTAAGCAGACCATGCCATGGAATGGTATCGGGACTCGCATGTACCGGGTCGCATTTATTACGTCAACGAATTAGAACTCCATTGACGCGGAGATGTGGTAGTCTAGACCAGTTTGTTAATTAATATAATAATAATAACATTTTCGTATACAACGTTATATATATATGAAATATTAAAATATGGTGTTATAAGTAAAATACATGTTTTACCGTCATATATATAAAACGCGGTGACTTGCAGCACGTAGTCCCATATCAACCTCCATTACTATCACGCTGTAAGCGTAAATTTGCACCGAATCACGAATCAATTTCTATAGAACTCCGCTCGCCTGTATTATATATTTAGTTTCTGACTTTTCATGTATATAAGTTCCTTCTATCGCATGATATTGTTGATTGGTTGGATTCATAACACCACGCGATATATTTGTAATTTTTTAACGTGGTAGGGTAACATATGGATTTGATGAATGAAAACAATAGCATATGGTTAATTCACGTTCACCATATGGCAACAACGATATACTCTATAAGCCAGACGATGGAATAACTATGTATACATGTGTATAAAAAAGAACTAAATAATTGTTTTACATATCCACGTTATCATCGATATGGTCATATTGTTATTACTGTTTATTGCATCATGTCGATTACTCTTCATAGGTAATTATTAAGAACAGTATGCAGAGAAAGGTTAAACATTACCACGGGGACCGACAAGAAGAAGGTGGATGGGGATGGCTTGTTGTTCTGCATTGTCATGTCATGTTCCTGTTGATAGTTGGACTGACTGGCTCATTTGGCGTTTTAGTGGTAAGGCTAGTGGAATACTTTGACGAAGATGTCGGTGATGTATCATGGATCCCGTCATTATCAACGGCAGTTCAACTGTTTATAAGTAAGTGTAGTGAATATTATCAGTGGAGAGAGCATTTTTTTTTACAGAGACTTAGCATCCCGGGAAAAATCCTCCATCGCATTTGTTGATGAAGTTATAAACTCCATCTAAAACATTGTTGATGCTTTTAAGTTAACGGAGTGAAGTCTTCCATGAATAATGATATGAAATAAACATTGTTCTACATTCTCGTCTTATAGGGTTCTCGTAGAATTAGCATAAGGGCACGGTTTTACAAAATTCAAGGCTTCGCATTGTAGTGCGGTCACTCAATATAATATTGCTGAAACAAATTCCATATTCATCGTTTTTTTGATGAGTATTTAGTTGATGTGAGCTGTGCCTGGGTGAATAATTGTCACATCGGGAGACAAATATTCATACTCCTCTCCTCAGTTACAGCTAATAATTGTTTAAAATTACGCCCGGTCATACAAACATATTCATTATTGCTTTATTTAATGCGGTGTGCACTTGTTCCAGTCAGTTACCGACCTGATACATTGCGTTGCCGCGATGATGAAATTCGTAGCAATTTTTTTGTAAACATGTTAGTACATTATTGTGTGGCTTAACTTTATTAAAAGTAAACATCGATACATTAGGAACAACTAGCTATTGGATGCACAGAAATTTAACCGCATTCGAGTGATTCCGTGTTCTTGCTCGTAAGAGTACATACAAACAAATGCTTTCGCGTCTTCATGATGCATCAATCCTGACTGTGAAAGTTTGAATAAATTCCAGAACTTGTGATAACTGAAATAATTGGAAAACCGGTTGATCGAAACAATTATATTTATTTTTAGCATTTTGATATCAATTAATACGAATTGCATTATTTAATAGTTAGATTTAGGGCTTGAATGCCTATTAAGCTGCTCCGGTATTTCACTCCAACGATGTTCGTCACGGTTTAAGCCCGTTGGTTTCTTCAAGCCATTCAATGAATATGACAATTTTTTACAGGTCCAGTAGCTGGCGCATTGAGCAAGCGACATGGAACACGTCCCGTCGTCGTAGCTGGCGCTCTTATTTCTTCTATCGGATGGATAATGAGCACGTTTGCAACAAGTGTTTTGTTTCTCTGTATTTCATTTGGATTCCTTACTGGTAAGTAACACATACTCATCTCATCTCATCTCATCTCATCTATCCTCTTCGCGCCTCCTGGCACATAAGGCCATAACGCTTGTATTCCAGTTCTGTCTGTCTTGTGCACTCCCCTGACCTCATTCCAAGTTTTACATCCACCCAACTTTCTCTCCTTTTCCACTGTTCTCCTCCATGTTGTTTTAGGCCTGCCCACCTTCCCTTTTTCATCTGGATGCCATGTCAAAGCAATCATACAATGGTAATTACTTGGCTTTTTCATTACATGTCCTATCCAATTCCATCTTCTTTGTCTGACCTCTTGACTTATCATTGGTGTATTGGTGTGATTGTGAAGTTCATCTATTGAGATGTTGTTTGGCCAGAATATTTGCAGTGCTTTCTTCAAACACTGGTATTGAAAGAAGTCCAATTTATTCTCATCAGTTGTATTCATCTTCCATGTTTCACATCCATAAAGGAGCACAGGCTTGCTTGACTGTTGTCTTTCTTCCATATTGCTTTGATCGCCACACTTAATTCAATTTCAAATTGGTAAATGCCACTCTAGCCTTATTTATTCGACTGCTCATGTCTCTCCCTCCACCACCTTCATTGCTTACAATTGCACCATAATATGTTAGATACTGATACTGATAGGTAATAACACACCTTATTTTTACACGTTGTAACCATTGATGCATCGTTGTAACATAATGTTAGTACGTTGTTTCTTTAAAACAAAAACACAAAAAACAACAAAAACAACTAGGTTGGTTCGGGAAATGTAAAGTTTCGATTAATACTGAAGTCATAACAAATGTTTCATTGTTTTCCAGGTATCGGATATGGACTTGCATATGTACCAAGCGTCGCCATGATTGGTGAATACTTCGAGCGTCGTCATGCATTGGCAAATAGCATTGCGTATGTTGGTTCTGGTATTGGTCTAATAGCATTGCCTCCATTTTTGCAGGTTGTTATGGATACCTACGGATGGAGAGGAACATTTTTTATTGCAGGTGCAATTAATTTAAACATGATTGCCTCAAGTGTTCTTTTGCGCCCGTTGAATAGAAAACTCGATGACAAAGATACATCTACAGTTTGCAACTCAGGAGGTCCAGGCAAGCAGGGAAATTATTTTACATTATATTTGAACAAAATTGAAAAATATATTGATTTTTCTCTGTTTTACAACAATGGGCTGTTTACATTGATGGCGGTTGCCATGACGTTAAACGCGTTTGGATATTACACAATGACAGTGCATTTTATACCGAACGCAGTGTATCTTGGGATACCTAAATTGAGAGCAGCCTTTCTTCAAACTGTCATTGGGATCTTCAGTCTGATTGGTCGGCTGACACATGGATGCTTCGTTGGTTCTATCGATCTACTTAAACCTGCCCGTGTTTACCTTGGTAGTACAGCGGTATGTGGAATCGCATGTCTGCTCACGCCGACAGCAGACAACTACGTCACGTTGGCACTGTGTGCGGCATTAATTGGATTGAGTTCGGGAATGTTTATGCCGCTAATTTCCGTGGTCATGAAAGATTTCGTTGGTATTGAACAATTATCTCATGCACTTGGACTGTCCTTTTTGCTGATGGGAGTGGGGGACTGTATGGGTCCACCAATAGCAGGTAATTCATTTATTTCCACGAGTTGTTGGTATAAGTTACAAGGCGCTAACAAATCTCAAATGAAATAACTAAATTCACCGTAAAGCTGATAGCTGAATATACGCGTACAAATAATTATATTCAGGTTATATTACACGACGATTTGTCAGTATGTTATATACTAATAACGAGAAATAATTTCTTTTCAACAGGTTTACTGTATGACGCAACGAACAGTTATACACTATCTTTCACCATAGCGGGCGCTGCTCTTCTAGCATCGTCATGTCTGCTTCTGTTCGAGATACCAGTGCGTAACCGGCGAGATAGTATTTACCAAAAAGTGAGCCTGTCCTCCAGTGTAACAGAGGGAGAAAGGCTTAGTGGATGGGACACAGTGTCAGTAAACATCATATATTTCAAAGACGATATGGTGTCCAGAGGACCGGTTACAGAACTTTGACGAAGGATTCAAAAGACGCTGTCAAAGCACAACCCGGATATTACCGCGTAGAGAATTTACCAAATATATTTAAATACTGAGAAACTTTACAAAAGATTTTTATTTCATATCAATCGCTTTCGATGGTCTAGCGACTGTCATCGGTTTTGCCGACCCCCCCCCCTCCCACTCCATGACGGAAGAGGGTTAATTTCCACGTGACTGGCTGTTGTAATATGTTATGTAATAAATTATACACTTTATCGTCTACTGAGTGTCTTTTATATTTACATACACCCAGTATAGTATGTATAGTACGTAATGTAGGTGTTTCTTGAGTAGTAGGTCCATAACGATTTCTGTAACCGCGCACTTAGTGGAGATAAGGAGTACATGTAAAACTGTTAACATCTAGACGTGACGTCAAAGCTGTACACGTAATTTAATACGAATATAAGACCGGACTACTTTCGCATGTCAAGACAAGTCCCAAAGCAGTAAATAATGCTACATGAACTATCAATACTAGTAATAATTCTATGCATGTATTGTTGAGCTAGGATTTGACATCGTCTAATGCAGTTTGTTGATATCGTGTTCTATTTATAGCACACCAATATACCATCAACATATACTGTTTCTGCTTTAACATTCGCTCAAAAAAAAGAAAAGAAAAAAGGTACACCTGTAATTTTTTAAATCGGTCAAAGTAAAAAATCATGTTATGTCAATCTGGCATGGCTTGGGCGCCACATAACCTTTTCACTGGTCAATCCGAAAGGAGTTTGAGGCTAAAGTGAACATTTAGGTCGACATTGCCAACGAATACTACCGTGTCACACATATTAAGTCGTTGGGAGATGTTATGACGTCATAAGCCAATAACATATTCGCAAGACAATATCAACTTAGCAGTCAAAACAAACATGTTTTGAGATTTTACGTTACAACAACATAGTTCGTAATTTATTTGTAGCCATGGCAACTTGTGATTTCCAATGATCACAATAAAGTGGCAGATAGGGAAGAGGAGGATATTCTCATAGAACACGTGACGATATTGCGGCGCCGATCCTGCAATACATTATGCTAATGACGTAGATTTCTACACCGGCAAATTTAATATGAATGAAAACATTGAATTTTTAATATTACTGTCTAGTACCGCATGTTGATGAATTCATCGGGTATTATTTATCACAAATCGATAACATTTTTTAAAGACACGCCAAAGTATTCGCTCGATGAAACAATGAAAATGTCTAATGCGCATGTACAGTCATCATGGCGGACACAATAATAATCACCGCACATGCGTATTAGGTTTTTCATTCAATATACTATGTATATGCTTCAAATGCAAAATTGTTAGTGTACGATATATCATATATACCAAAGTGGATTCTACAATGATATATCATATATACCAAAGTGGATTCTACAATGATATATCATATATACCAAAGTGGATTCTACAATGATATATCATATATACCAAAGTGGATTCTACAATGATATATCATATATACCAAAGTGGATTCTACAATGATATATCATATATACCAAAGTGGATTCTACAATGATATATCATATATACCAAAGTGGATTCTACAATGATATATCATATATACCAAAGTGGATTCTACAATGATATATCATATATACCAAAGTGGATTCTACAATGATATATCATATATACCAAAGTGGATTCTACAATGATATATCATATATACCAAAGTGGATTCTACAATGATATATCATATATACCAAAGTGGATTCTACAATGATATATCATATATACCAAAGTGGATTCTACAATGATATATCATATATACCAAAGTGGATTCTACAATGATATATCATATATACCAAAGTGGATTCTACAATGATATATCGAACAGCATTCTTAAAAAATACAAGTTTACATCTCATATTGCATCTTTAACGAAGTCATTTATATTAAATACAATTTCCAAATTTTCCGAGTTAATAGACATTGATATTGAGAGTTAAATTTACCTTTATTTGCTGCCCATCAAGGAGTCACTATTTTGTGCGACTTTTGTCTCTGACAGAAATATATATTAAAATAACCAAAAACATTTTAAAACGAAAATGTACCTCATTGTAAATTTAGTTGTATTAGGTATGGATATTCAGTGTTGGGGGGTATGTCAATATCGCGTCACATGTGTGGTGACACCCCGCGTAGTGGTCATTGAGATATGGAATTCGTTATTTTACTTTGCGAAATGAAACTAAAATATCTTCACTTCCATCACCAACTATGAACGAAAGTTTGCTTCGAGATTGGTGAACATATCGCATTTCGCGTAATTTTATATATTTTTATATTTATATTTATCACATACATATTTTTTACATTCTCAAGTTGGCAAAATACACGTTTTGAACGAAACAGTAGACATTTATAAACGCGCATTTTAATTGACAATAATAGGTGATTTATTAAAAAACAAACTGAAACAAGGTCTGTATACAGCAAAGTACCGTACGTTGTCATCTTGAAAGTAATACAAAAGCGATGTACAGAGATGTCAAATACCGATGATATGTGCTGATAAAGATAGAAATAGACATCATGTGTTCCACTCTACAGGGAGGATAAACATCGCACTGTTATTGTGTTACTATATGTGCAGTACAACGATGGTATTTATGATTCTAATCGGATCAGCAAGAATTATCTCCACCGGAAGTGACTCAGTACGTAATCAGCATTATTGATGTTATCGGTTCCAGTCAGATCTATCGTCGTTGGTGGCGTTATAACATTTCAAAGTCGTTTTCGGCTGAAAATGATACTCTACTAGTATAACAATACCAGTTTAGCAATATTAGGGATTGTCAGCTTGCCTATGGATCCTCAGCAACGTAATCAAGAAATAATACATTAATGTCAAGAGTAATTATGTGATAAATCTGTTTATTTTGAATAATCTTTTGTAAGAAACAATATTCCAGTGGTGGGTGTTGGTAACTACTATATTAAACAAATGTAAAATAACGTTTACAAATGTCTACATCCAATAACACATGACATTTCGTGACGTCATTGGCTAACAATCTACAAAATATCTAGGTTTGCTATGGTAAATATATATATATATATATATATGAATATTTCTTGCCGTTTGAGATTTCATTTAACATGCGTTTACAATTTAAAGTTTCACCCATTTCTTAATTTATCAACCACTGATACTCTGATTGTGGTCACTTGACGCTAACTTTTGAGTTGAAAACTGGAAAATTTAGGAACATCAAAACCGAGAATTTCATAGTCCAACTTGTAATACTCGATAATCCGATTAAACAAATATTTGGGCAAAGTTTTAACAGTGTCCTTGTACTTGACATGTCCAGTTTGACTATGCTGCTCTGGTAACTTAATTAAATCACTAATACCGGCTAAATCAAACATATATGGAATGTCATACTTCATTTTGTCAAGATGTCCAATAAAATCCACATCATAAGCACATATGTGCGAACAGGCATATTGATTTGCTCCAAATCCTCGTGGGATTTTACCATATGTAGTTATGATTTGTACCAGTTCAGAAAATGTTATGTTGGGTCTCTCCTCTCCAGACACATCCCGATCTGTTAATTTTTCTAAGTAAGGTAAGTAAAACATATACAAGTTCTTAGCCCTGGAATTGTAGTCCACTGCATAGTAATAATAAGAAACAAGTCGTTCCAATGGATCCCTATAGAAAACTACTTTTGTGTAATTTTTGTATTTTGACATATGTTGCCATGGAATCTGATGTATATATGACGTATTTGGAGGAGTCAGACTAGAGATGATGTGCTTTAACGTAGTCGAGCCTACTTTCCCAATAAGATTAATCATGAATTTGTGTTTCGACGAAATTCCAAACGTGTTAGTACCCATAATGTCATCGTATGTAATATTATGTTTTTTGCACATTTTCTTGACTGTATTCTTCCGCTCCTGGCTTGCTAGTTCTGGGTTGTATGTGTTTTTAGATTGTGGTACTTCCTGATCCTAGATTAATAAAACAAAAAATATATTTAAAACAAATAAACAAATCAATAAATAAATCAATAAACAAATAAATAAATAAAT